GCACAAAGCTTGGTCAGGAGTCCCTGTGGACCCTCCTGTCCCCATCAAGGCAGCAAAACGCACGTGTCCATATGGATGGGTGGGTGGAACAGCATCGCAAGGGGTGAAGGAAGGCAACATCTGCCCACAGCCACCCTCGTGGCATTGCTCCCAGTCCCACAATGGCTTTTTCCCATCCTCTTCCTGCCCACAAAGCGACAAGGGGGAAGAAAACTAATTAATAATTATGCTCTGTTAATGACTTGAGATGTTCCTGGGCGAAGTGCTCCCATTTCACTCCTAAATGAACACCTCTCCTTGTCCACCCAACAGCAAACCTCCATCTCCAAGGCTGTGGGATGAAGCTGTGGGTGGATGGCAAAGGGATGCACTCATTCTCCCTTGCTGTAGCCAAGACGTCTTAGGAGCGAAGCAGTTTTCCCTCTCCCTTTGTGCTTCTACCTTCCTCTGTATCCAAGCGCAGCTGGGATCCTCAGAGGGCCTGGATGACTCACCACGGCTGCAATGGAAGGGCATTAGCACATGATTCCTCCCAGGGCTCTGCATCTCCTGTCACCAGGAGCTTTTCCTATTCCACTGAAGGAAATATCACCTTTTTACCTGCAGAACAGTGGGGCAGAGGGAGCACAGCCCCTTGGTGGGCAGGACAACCTGATGGAGGCAGGTGCTGGACCAGCGCGGGGATGCAGGGACCGAAGGGATGCTGAGCACCGCAGCAGCGTCACATTCACATCCCCAACACCAAGTTCTTGCTCTCCCCCTGAGTTCTTGCTCAACTGAAGCAGGTCCCTCCTCAGGGTGACCAAAGCAGCTTGGTCACCCCTTTAGCTGCAATCCCAGCCCGGTGCCGTTGCGGTTGAGCACTCACTGCCTGCACTGCTTCCCTGGCGGTGTCTGTCCCTGTCACACTGTGCGCTATGCGGTGGCACCGCTCCTGGCTCACCCCTTCCTTCCAGGACAAGCTATTTATACTTCCCCTTTGCAAAGCCAAGGCAGCTTCTTGGGAGGACGTGGCCTTTGGTGCCAGCTGCTTCCCGACCCCAGGACACAGGGACCTTGGAGAAGGGAGGTGAGGCAGAGCCAGGGCACAACCACTCCCATCCTGGGTGTGTTTTGCCTCAGGAGCTCATCAAACAGAGTCCGCATGGGGCTGGGAAACGTTGGGGTGGTGGGAAGGGGCTGGAGAAACCCTGTGGGGATGTTGCAGATGCACAAAGAGCATTCCCATGCGGGATGCACAGGGACATCCGCAGCCCACCCTGGCTGCTCTGCCCGCACCAAACCTGGCCTAAGCCATGCTAATCCAGAGAGCAAAGGGTTCCTGCTCACCAGCCCTTTCCCCAGGCACATGGCACTTCATTTTATCACTCCAGATTAAGCTGCTGCTCTTAATTGCTGAGTGCTCCAGGGCAGGGAGAACAAGAAATGTCAGGGGAAAAGCCAATGTAGCATTTCTTATCATCTCCATAGTATTCAGGTCACCTTCCTGATGCGGATGGGAATCCGTGTGATATGAATGGAACAGGGAGTGATCTGATAGTGTTCCATGGGGTGTTTTCCCTGGCATCTCCTCCATTCTTGACCCTGCGAGGGAAGAGCACAATGGTTCCAGCCAAATGTCAAGAAACACTGGTTTTGGTGGGGGGTTTATGCTTTTACTGGGGGATCTTTGCTCAGTTCTTCCTCCTCTGTCTATTCAAAGCCTGCTGAGTGCTGTGGCTTTAGGAAGGCTGAGATCGAAGTGCTCTGCAGACTCAGCAAACCTCTTTGGCCAGGAAAGCAAAGGGCACAAGGCTTTTTCTATAGGAGAAGTATATCCTGTCCTTCCCCATCCTTTAGAAGCAGTCTTGGGTCCACTTTAGGCTCATTTGATTCATTTAAGCACCAGAAAGCGCAGGGAGGGGAGGTTTGGGGATGCTTTAGGGCACTGAATTGCACCCCTGCAACTCAATGGATATCTTGCAAACGTTGCAGGTGATCAATGACTTTTCCCCCTTATTTTGCCAATGAACATCCCATCAGCTCAAATCCATGGCTTTGCTCTGAGTATTCCAGCTTGGCTGGGGAAGAGCCGTGCGGGGAGGTGGGGCTGGCTTGGGCAATCACTGTATTGTGTTCAGAGCTGCTCCGAAGCGGCTGATTCACTCCCGTCAACGCAGAACAATGAAGGAGAAAGGAAATTGCTCCCTTTGCATCCCAGCCTGGAGCTGGAGCCAGCACTCCGAGGCTCAGCGGCTTTTCCTCCCCCTGCTTTAGTGATGTCTGTGTGGGTTTCAGTCCCTGGGGTGTCCTGCTGGGATTACCCAGCGCTTCCAGGTATTTAGGGACCCACCACTGCACCTCCGCATCCTTCAAGGACTGGTACCCATGGGATACAGCTCCAAGCAGAGGCAGCACCTTGTGCTCTGGGAAACCAGAGTTTTGGGGTGGAATTCAAACAAAAAGGCAACTCAAAAAGCCCAGCAGCAGAGCAGCTGAGTGCTTGAAAGGCTCTGAAGCAGCAGATGTGTGCCCCTAAAAGACACAGGATGTCTATAGCTTTGGCTTCCATCTAGCATCACATCCCCAGCTGGAGCCGGGTCTGGTCAGCTTTCGGGGGTTTCAACCCCAAAATCCCTTTGGGATTTGGGGAGTGGCTGCAGGTGTCCCTGAGCTCAGCAGTGCTCTGATGCATCCCTGTATAGGGGCATGGTGGGTGTTTCCTGGCCTCCCTTCAGCATCATTCCTGCCCTCCCCAAACAGCCTCAGTGCTGGATTGTCCTGCTTTTAAAAGCAAATCAGCTCCTCAGTGGGGCTGGCCCCTTCCCGTGTTCCCCATGCTGGGAATGCTGAGCATCACCTCGGGGATGTGACCACGGGAGCAGCCCCATGGTGGTTTTCCCAGGAGAAAGCTAGGAATGATGGCAATGGCAAAGCTGAGCAGGTGGATGTGGGGTCTGAGGTCTGGAGAAGGCAGCAAGGGCTTGAGCTTGGTGGATAACTACCTATGATCTTAAGGGCCTTTCCAACTCTAACCATTCCATTCCATGCTATTCCATTCCATTCCACTCCATCCCATTCCGTCCTATTCCATTCAATTCCATCCTGTTGATTGCTCAGCTTGCAAAGGACGGACTTCCCCATGGGGACAGGCAGGGTGGGATCTGTCCCAGCCCTGGCAAAGGGACATTAACACTGAGCAAGGAATGGAGATAACATCTCCGAGCCCTTCTGGTTAGAGAAGCAGTGACATTCCCTTGGGAAGAAAGGGACATGGGTGCAAACAGGAGCTCAGGTCTCCAGGACAGGCTGTTGTACACCCGGGGGTCTGTTCTACACCTTGTGCATCCTCTGGATTTAAAGCATTTCATGCACGTTTTTACCCCCAATTCACATTTTAGCAGCCCCGAAGCGAAGGGAGACGATGCAGGAACATGCAAGGCTAAAAGCCGGGTGCATGGATGGCTCCCCTGATGCTGGGGTAGATGCTGCACCCCACCATCCCCTGCTGCCCCCAGTTCCTCACCCCAGACACAGCCCGCTCCTGGAGACCTGCACCCACCCATCCTGACACACTCCAGACGGTGATGCCACAGCTCAAGATTGGGTTTAGTGCCCAACGGGAGATGCTCCCATGGGCCAGAAGTAGCCCCCAAAACACTGCCAGCCACAGAACCACCCCAGGGAGGGTTCAGAGGGGTCCAACAGCTCCTCGGTGCTGAGGGGGTCCCACTGTGCTGGGGAGCACAGAGATGGGTAAAGATGAGCTCCAGGTTCAGTTGGGTTCCAACACAATTCCCACCATCCCCTTTCCAAGTGCTTGGAGATCCCTGCCCAAGGGTCCAGAGCCCACTTGGGATGGGGCTCAGGACTCCCAACGCCCCCCTCCATCCTTGCCACCGTGCTTTGGGGACCAGGGGGTTTAGCAATGCATTGAGCAAGAGGATGGGGAAATGGGGTTGCCAAGGAAACAAAGCAGCCAAAGTGATGGGTTTTTCTTTGTTAAGGTTGGAAAAATGCGGGGGAGAAGGGCAGCGGTGGCAGGAGGCTGGAAAACAGGGGGAGAACTCTGGGATTGGAATGGAAACCAGGGATGCTCCCGTGCCTGTGTGCTGCATTCTGCCCCTGCGGGACAGGGCGGCCTGGCCATTGCTCCATTGGGATCCAGCATTTGCTGTTTGAAGCCGTGGCACCTATGGGGCTGGTGGCTGGGGAGGGGACAGCAGGATCTCAGCCAGACCCAAAATGCCATCAACCATCCCAGCCTGTGTCCTCCCCATAGAGCAGGTCAGAGCCTCAGCCCTAGGAACAGCCTCCAAGTGCCACCCATATCCCGTTTCAAGCCCTGGGAACAGCTGTATCCCCCTTGCTGTGCCCCAGGGATGGATCCTGCATCCCCACCTGGAGCATCCTCCCCAGGAGGACCCTCACATCGATGGCAGAGGAGCCTCCAGGAGCACCCAGCCCTCCAGTTTGCCTTCTCTGGTCCCTTTCCTCCTTTGGGATTTCTTAGGGGAGCTGTAGGGTGCGCAGGCCAAGAGTAAAACATGAAAGATCACTCAACCCAACAGCTCTTCCATCCTCCTCCTCTCTGCCCATCATCAGCGCCCTTATCCCCCACCCATGGTCACCCATGAGCACTGTGAGCTCCCCTATGTCCCCATCACATCTCGCTGCTGCTGGTTGATTCTGGTGCTGGTGAGGGACGAGCTGGGTACCACGAGGCTCCATCCCGCACCTCCTGTAGCCAAAGGTTGTGCCTCCCAACCCCTTTCCCTGTAAAACCCTCCTGCTGGTGGAGTTCCTGCCCTGCCATGGGATACAGGGCACAGCTCCAGCCTTAAGTAAAGGTCTTTCATCACCAGGCAGGTGGTGGATGAGCATCAAGCCACTGTTATGGCCCAAGCTGGAGGCTGGTGGATCCAAGCCATGTTATGGAGCTGGCTGGGGGCTCTTGGAGGACCATGAGTGAATGGAGACACAGGTCCCAACACCCTTCAGAAAGCAGTCAGTGCCGCAGAGACAGTTCACACCTTTATTGCTTTAGCTGGAGGGTTTTGCCCCACTCCTCTTGCCCCCCACATCCCTTCTTTCTTCCTCCTTTTAGTGCCCTTAAAACAGGATGGATGGTCCATGCGTCACAGAGCGCAGGGACATGGTGACATCCCACCAGCATCCGGGCACCCTACAACCACCCCATCTCCCTCTGTGTCCTCCCACTGTGGAGGAAGAAGGTATTTGGGTTAAAACCTGGCCATTTCCCACTCCTGGTTTCCCAGGCCAGTGGCACAACCCCACATCCATAAGGAATGTCCCTCCTGTATGTACACAGACCAGTCTTCCTTACTGAGGATGAGACTGTTGGCAGCGGTCTCCCAGCTCACCCCAAGCAAATGGATGAACCACTTGGATTCACCAGGGTCTTCCCAAGCAAACCCATCTGTTGCCAGAGCCCAGCTTCCTGGGGTGCAAGGAAACAGGGAGCTGGGGCATAGGGACCGGAGCCACCGCATCACCTTCCTCCGCACCCCGACGTGGCTGTCACAGCATCCTTGTCTCACACTGCATCCCTCCAGCCCCATCGCCAGGTACCATCAGCAGAACTGCAGGAGAAGCAGAGGGTGAGACCTCACCCAGCCCCCTGGCACCATTCGGGGGGGGGGCTCTGACACCCCCCACTCCCCCCCATAGGGATGGGGATGGGTTGGACCTTCCAGCGGTTCCCGCACTCGTTGCACAGCACAAACGTGGTCATGGGCTCGTCAGCGCTGCGTGTCTGCACCTAGGATGGATGGAGCAGGAGGTGGTCAGAGGAGAGCCCCCCCTGCAGTCCTGATCCAGCTCTGGGACATCAGCACAACAGGGAGATGGAGCTGATGAAGCACGGAGATGCTGCGAGGGCTGGAGCAGCTCTAAGGGAGGTGTTCTTGCCCATGGCAGGGGGTTGGAACTGGATGGGCTTTAAGCTCTGTTCCAACCCAAACCATTCCAGGATGCTGTGATTCTATAAACTGGGTCCCCTGGGAACAGCGGGGACCATGGGGCTCACCTGGTTGTATGTGCAGTTCTTCTTCTTGCACTTGCCGCACTGGAAGAGGTCGGTGACGGTGCCGCCCGTCTTGGCCATCTGGTGCTCCCGGATGGCCTCCTGGGTCATGGCATTCCGCAGCTCCTTCAGCTCATCGCTGGCCATCTCCTGCCACCGGCATCGGGTCAGTGCTGCTGCCCGGGGGCTTGCAGCTCAGCACAGGGCACGAGCCATCGTGATCCAGCACCCTCCCCATCCTCTCCAGGATCAGCACTGCTCCTGCTCTGTGCTTTGCTGGAGGGTTTGTGCCCATCCAGATCACCACATCCTCAATCTGAAACCGCTGCCTCCACGCTCCCATGGCTCCCCATGGAGGGAGCTGTGCTCCCACAAGCTGGATGTGGGGAACATCCTTCCATAAGGAATGGAGGCCCTCAAACGTGACTGGTGGCATTCCACATCACGATGGGCTGGGGGCTGCAGTGCCTCCTGCCTCCTCCCTGTGCCTGATGCTCCACAACCAGCACTAAGATGGGACAGGGAGATGCTGGGACAAGCATCACCAAGCCAAAACCCTGCCAGCCCTTGGGCAGCAGCACGGCCTCCAAGGGCAGAGGCTGTGGAGGCAGCACGGACGTGGTCCATGGGATCCAGCCCCGTGTCCCACCTCGGCCGTCATGCGGGCGATGAGGCTGGGCAGGATGGCCCCGCACAGCACGTTCCTCCGCAGGCTGGGGTTCTTGGGGTCCTTCAGGTTGCTGATCCTGCTCCGCACTCGGTTGCGGTACTTCATGTCCGTGCTCTTCAGCTCCTGGAAGATATGTGGGGTGCGTCAAGGAACTGCAGGGGGTGAGGTGGAGGGATGCTCCCTGGGTACCACATGGCGGGGTCTTCCCCTCCTTGGGCTTTGGGGGGTGAAGCACGGTTTGGGATGTGGGGAGGAAAACAGCCACATGGCCTTGCACCATCTGACAGCCGCAGTTGGGGCTGCACCAGAGGAGAGGAGGGGAAAGCACCTTGGGGTTGGTCCTGGTCTTGGGGGGCTGCCAGGAGACAGGGGGTGAATGGAGGTGGCACCGTGATGAACCGGGGCTGGTGAGAAACATGGGTACCCACAGCAGGGTCAGAGAGGAAGCCTTGGCTGGGGGTGGATTTTATTGCCCCAGGGATGAAGGCAGATCCCTGAGCAGAGGCTTTGGGGGAATGCACTGAACCAGTGCGGGTGCCCAGGGGATGCTCTGCTCAGCATCGTCTCTAACCGGGCTCCGGGCTCCCTCTGCAGGCAACGGGGCCAGCAGAGCCCATCACCTTGTCCCCGTCACCCTCCAGCAGCGCTCCTGAGCGCAGCTGCGGCCCCAGCCACTGTAAAGGATATGGTCTTCGATCTCCGATGCCATCTTCTCGCAGTTGACACCAAACTCCTTGTAGTCATCTAGAGGGCAGAGAGGCCAAGGGGTGAAACCAGCGCCATCTCCCCATGCACCGAGAAACCCCCTGGAAAGATCTCACTTCTCCCTCTCAACTTGTTGCAGGCACCCATCTCTAAGCAGCCTACTTTAACCCACCTCGAACCTCACCAAGGGCCCAGCCCTGCATCCAACCCTTTACCAGAGACCCCCCAGCCTCCTTTGCTTGTATTTTGGGGCTGAGCACTGATGCTGTTTGGGCAGAGCTTTGCTTTTTACTGCAGGGCTGCTCCTCTTAGGGCTGCCCCATAGGAGAAACAGCCCGGGTCGGACCACAGCACCCCAAGCCCCGCTCACCATCCATGCGGAGCGCGGCCGTCAGCATCTCGATGCACTTGTCCCGCACCGAGTCCCCTGTGAGGTAACAGGGGGCCAGGAGGCAGGGGCTGGGCGAGAAGGGGCTGCTGGGGGTCCGTGGGGTCTCTGCTTTGGCCTTGCTGCTGTTGGCTCTGCAGGGGGGGACAAGCAGAGCCCAGGGTCCTGGTGCAGCCCCCCAGGACCTGCCCCATGGCACCGGGATGGGGCCTCTCCTACCTTTCCTCCTTGCTGTCAGTGGAGCTGCTCCGGGAGCCAGTGGGAGCTGGGGAAGGGCTGCTGCCCACAGAGGCTCTCCTGGGGGGGCACAGGAGGGGATGGCACCAGAGAGGGGCACACGAGGACTACGAGCACTCAGCAGCGTGAGTCTCCCCAAGCAAGGATTTGCTCCCCATGGGAATGCCCCAGTGCCCGTCAGGTCAGGCCTCCCAACCACCCCTACCCAGCCATGGTCAAAGCATCCCCAAAGGGGATCCCCGGAATGCCCCCTCCTTACCTCTCCCCTGACAGCCTCTTCTGTGAGGAGGAAGAGGAGGAGGAGGCCGAGGTGGAGGACCTTGAGTCAGCAGAGTCTCTCCTGGCAGGACAAGCCCCATCTCAGAGGTGGTGACAGGGACCAGACCCCATCCACAGCCCAGTGAGGGGACCAGACCCCATCCTCCTCCATCCCAAGCACCCACCTCTCCTTCTTGCTGTCCAGAGGTGACTTCTTGGAGGATGCAGTGGGGCTCCGGCCATCATTGGCCTTTCTTCAGAAGCCCAAAGGAAGGCAGAGATGCTCTGGTGAGCCCGTTGCACACTGCACACCGCATCCCAGTGCCACCATTCCCCAGCAGAGCCTCCCCCAGGATGGCAGCATCGGCACGTACCTGTCCAGGCTGGCATCAGCAGAATGGCCCTGAGGGATGCTGGCACAAGAGCTGGACTTGCTGGGCTTCCTATGGGCACAGAGAGCAAGGCAGGGTCAGAGGAGCCCCTTGCCCAGGGAATCAATAGCTCTAGAGATGGATAAACCAACCCAAAGGAGTGAGCAGAGGGGTTTGTATCAGCCCCTTCAGTGCTGGTGCCCCCCAGCAGTGCCCACCTCTCCTTGTGCTTCTCCTTGTGCTTCTCTGATGGGGTCTTGGGGTGCTTCACCCCTTCACTGGGGCAGCCGGGCAAATCCAGCCCCTTCTTCTCCTTCTCCCCATCCGTGTCCTTCTCCTTCTTGGGGGTGGTGGAGGGCTCTGGAAGCAGGGTTTGGGTGTCACAAGCAGGGCCCAAAGCAGCACTGGGCACCTGGGGAGCTGCATCCCAGGCTGGGGGATGCTCAGCCTTTGGGAAGGCACGCACTGATGTACACTGCTCCATCCCGGAGCGGGAATGAGCCCTTGGAATAGCCCTCCAAGGGTATACATGGATGTAGGGAAGGGGCTGGGGCTCGGGGGCTCACCCAGCAGCCGCTTCCAGTTCTTGATGAGGATCTTGGCCGAGGCCACCACCTCTCCATCCGAGCAGTGCTTCCGCACCGAGTTCACAGCCACCCCGATCCGCGTGGTCTGGGGATGGCAACAGGGATGCGTCCTTAGGGATGCAGCCTTAGGGATGCGCTGCCCAGCACGGGAGGGATGGGATAAACCCCCCTCCATGGGGTGTCCCCCTTCCGGCACCTGCTGCCCCCCTCACCTGGAGCAGCTGGATGGTCATGGTGTAGTTGGTGAGGGACTTGAGCAGATCCAGAGCCCCTTCCTAAAGTGGGGAGAAGCCATGGGAGCTCCTTAAGGAGCAGCAGAGGAAGAGGGGGCTGCACCGAGGCATGCCCGTGTCCCCCCTTCCTCCCACCAGCATCCTTGGGCTGCTCCCTGTCCCCTCCAATGCACTCCTATTAAAACCCCAATCCCAATTCCTGCCGCACGGGGTCACATCTCCCAGTTGGGAAGCAGGAGCTTCCCTTAAAGCTTGGGGAAACCCTTCCATAGGGAAACAGCCGGGGGACCCCCGAGGTTGCCCATGCACAGAGCGGCTGCAGGGCTGAAGATAGCGATGAAGGCAGCGTAATTCCCATTGGGTTCTAAGGGTTGGCATCCCAGCAAGGCACCGGCCCCGCTCGGGAGCTCGCACCGTGCCGGGGTAAAGGCCAATGGAACAGTCAAACATTAACTGGGAGGGCTGGGCTCAGCTCCGCTCTCCCACTGGCTCCAAAGGGCCGCATCCTGGCACAGCAGCAGCACCATAGGGAGAGCCAGGAGCCGTCTCCTGTGCACGTTGCATTCGCTCGTGCAATAGGAACCGGGTGCATGTGTGGGGCTGGGGGGGGGGCACGGTGCAGCACCGGCCCCCATTGGGTGTTGGTGGCCGGGCTGGTGGCCAAGCACCTGTCACCCACGGTGCCCTGGCACCGCGGAGGAACCCCATGGCCCCATATGTGCCCCATATGTGCCTCTGTGTGCCTGCACGGCCCCAAAGGCACCCCAAATGGCCCTATATGTGTCTCATGGCCCCAGATGTGCCCACATGTCCCCCAATACACCCCTATGTAAAGATGCCAGCGGGCAGGGGGGTGCAGGAGAGGGAAGCACAGATCGGAGGCCCACTGAACCCCGCTGTGCTGAAGCTGGGGCACCCCGGGGTGCTGCTGGGTGCTCAGCACCCCTTGGACGCACTCAGCACAAGCAATAGTGGGGGGGTGAAGAGCCCCCCATCTCCTTTACCCTTTTCCTCCTCCCCTGTCCCGCACCAGGCTGTAACACGCCTGTCCACGCATGCAGATGTACCCATGCATGCGAACACACGTGTGTGTGCCAAGGGCTTGGCCACCCTTACCGTGCTCTTCCTGGCCACCATCTTATCCAGTTTCTTGGCGATCCGGACCAGTTCCTCGGCAGGGCCCATGCTGGCGGCTCCCGGCTCCGGGGGGGGCAATCCCAAAGCAGGGGGGGCACAGGCAGGGAAGGGAGAGGGGAGCGGGGTGGGAAGGAGCAGGGAGAAAGGGGAAAAGAGAGGAAGGAGAAGGGAGAGAAAGCAGAAAGGAGGTGGGGCTGTCCCGGGCAGCGATCAGCCCCTGCCAGGCAGGCGGAATAACACGGGGAAGGGCTAAATATAGCTGGGAATGACAGGCAGGGACATGAGGGCGGGAGGCGCGGGATGGGGGGCACCCAGGGGTGCTGCGGAGGACCCCAGGGTGCAGAACAGGGTTGGAGCCTGGCTCTTGAGCTCTGCCTTCAGAAGCAATGGGTGATCCGGTGCTAGCAGTTTAGGGGGTCTGTTCCGAACGGGGCATTCCAGAGAGTGGGAATGTGGCAGGAGACTTCCAAAGCTCTCTGGAACTGTAATGACTGGTTCCAGTCGTGACACGTAGCTTGTGAGCGGTAGGTCTCTCTATTTGGGTTAGGGATAAGGAAGTTCTTCCCTGTGGGGGCTGAGGGACATGGGACTGGAGCACCTCCCATATGGAGCCAGGCTGAGGAAGCTGGGGCTGTTCAGCCTGGAGAAGAGAAGCTGTGTGGAGACCTCAGAGCAGCTTCCAGTATCTGAAGGGGGCTACAAGGATGCTGGGGAGGGACTCTTCATTAGGGACTGTAGTGACAGGACAAGGGGTGATGGGTTCAAACTGAAACAGGGGAAGTTTAGATTGGATATAAGGAGGAAACTCTTTCCTGTTAGGGTGGTGAGGCACTGGAATGGGTGCCCAAGGAGGTTGTGAATGCTCCATCCCTGGCAGTGTTCAAGGCCAGGTTGGATGAAGCCTTGGGTGCCATGGTTTAGTGTGAGGTGTCCCTGCCCATGGCAGGGGGTTGGAACTGGATGATCTTAAGGTCCTTTCCAACCCAAACCATTCTATGATTCTGTGATTCTGTGATTCTGTGAATGGGTTGAACGGAGGTGGTTTGGATGCCCCATCCTCAGCAGTGCTCAAGGGGCTTGGAACTGGATAAGCTTTAAGGTCCCTTCCACCCCAACCTGTTCCATGGCTCTCTATGGTGCTGGTAAGGAGGAGGCTAAGCCTACACCAGGCTTTGCTCTGCAGAACCCCCCCAGAGCACCCATGGGGACAGCATAACCATAGGGTGAGCACCCCAGGTTGGCTCCCTGCAGGGAGGACACCCATGGGTGCCCAAACCCCCCCTGGTGCACCCATCCCCACATGAAGCAGCGCTCCCCTCATGCTCAGCACCCCAAACCCCGGGCTCCCACCACTGAAGGGCACTGGGAGGGCACAGGGATGCTGGTACCCATGTGGGAGGTGGCAGCAGCATCAGGCAGGGGCTGTGCCCCCCAGCGAGCAGCCAGGCCCTTACAAAACCCATGGTTTTATTGGAAACCAGAGACAGAAAACATGAACAAAACCGTTTGAGATGACACATTTGACCCCACAATGGGAATGGGGTGAGTCGGGGGGCGGTGGTAGGTGGTTCCCAAAGGGCACCAGCACAGGGGGGGACATTGGTCCCAAAACAGCTGTACAATCCCCTTGAAGAGCCCCCCCCCAGGGCTGGGGCGGTGATCCAGCACCCACCCCAGGCACAGGATATGGGGCAGGAGCTCCATGGTGCCCCCCAGAGCAGGGAATGGGATTTGTGCTGCGTCCCCAGAGCCCACCAGGCCCCCAAGGAGAGGCCATTGAAAGCCCTTTGCTATTCCCTGCTCACCCCCCAGGCTTCACAGCTGGGGTAGGGAAGAAGGATGGGGGGGATGCAGCTGCTCCCCAGCCCTGTCCCCCCCAACAGCCCCCAAGCTGGGGAGGGGGGTCCATGGCTCCCCAGCAGAGGAGGGTGAGGGGCACCCAGTGCAGCTCCTCCATCCCCAGATCCATGCGGACAGGAGAGGAGAAAGCCGCAGGGATGAGCAGGAGGGCACCAAGGGACCCTCTCAGCCCATCCGTGTCATGAGCGTGCCTGGTCTGTGCCCCAGCCCCAGGGCAGGCAGCAGCCTCCATCCATGGACGGTGTTCCCAATGGAAGGGGACCGGATGGGTCCCGGCTCTGCTGAGGACAGCGGGAGCTGCGCAGGAGGGTGCAGGGCCCGTGGGCACCCATCAGTCCTGCAGGAGGTGCACGAAGCTGGCTGGGAACACTCCGGTGCGGGATCCATCGCCCTCGATGAAGCCAACCTGGGGGGTGCAGGGGGGGGGTCAGGCCATGGGAGCCCCAGCTCTGAGATAGGGCTGAGAACTAAACCTGGACAAGAGAAGACTCCTCAAGGGGAGACCTCAGAGCAGCTCCAGGGCCTAAAGGGGCTGAAGGAAGCCTGGAGAGGGGCTTGGGACAAGGGATAGGATAAGGGGGAATGGGCTTTAACCTCCTGCCGGAGGGGAGGTTGAGCTTTAAGGCCTCTCCCAACCCATTCCATGATAGGACCTTGGGTAGGGGAGAGGCTCTGGGGCCGATACCCCCATTCCCAGAGGCATTCAGAGAGGCAAAGCTGCGGTGACCCATCAGTGACCTCCTGCATCAGGGATGGGGCCATCACCCATCCGCACCCCCGTGAGCACACATCCTCCTCCAGCCGGGGGGGGGCAGGGGAGGCCTGGACCAGGATCGGGCCCCAGCATCCCTGGGGACCCTCACCCAGCTCTGCTCGTCCTCCTCCCGCGTCACCACGATCACCTCGCCCTTGGAGAAGGTCAGCTCCCGAGCCTTGTCCCCCCTGCAGTCAGCCACCGCCTGCACCCGCTTCTGCCGCCCCTTCGCCTGCAAAGGGAGAGGAGGGGTCATGGGCACCCCCCAGAGCCATCCGCCAATGGGGGTGAAGGGATGTGATACCCCTGATGCATCCATCTTCCACTCTGGGATAAGGGGAAGGGAAAGGAGAAGAAAGGGGAAGAAGGGGGAAGAAAGGGGGGAAAAGGGAAAAAAGGGAAAAAAAGGAAAAAAGGGAAAAAAAGGTAAAAAAGGTAAAAAAGGGAAAAAAGGGAAAAAAGGGGGAAAAAGGGAAAAAGGGGGTGGAAAGGGGGAAAAGGGGGAAAAAGGGGGAAAAAGGGGGAAAAAGGGGGAAAAAGGGGGAAAAACAGGGGAAAAAGGGGAAAAAGGGAAAAAAGGGAAAAAAGGGGAAGAAGGGGTAAAGGGGAAGAAGGGGAAGAAAGGAATAAAAGGGAAAAAAGGGAAAAAAGGGAAAATAGGGGAAAAAGGGGAAAAAGGGGAAAAAGGGAAAAAGGGAAAAAAGGGAAAAAAGGAGAAAAAGGGGAAAAAGGGAAAAAAGGGGAAAAAGGGGAAAAAGGGGAAGAAGGTGAAGAAGGGGAAGAAAGGAATAAAAGGGAAAAAAGGGAAAAGGGAAGGGGAAGTCTGGGCACGCAGAGTGTGACCCCCAGCCACCATCACAGCCCCTCTGAGACACCCCCCTCCAAGTGTTGGCACCTACCGGAGCGAACCTCCTGGGCATGGGCACAGGGGGCACCTTGCTCCCGTTGGGATCCTCAATAGGGCTCTGGGGGGACACGGCCTTGCCCCCCACGCCACTGATGCGCCGGTAGGAGCGGGTGCTCTCGGAGCTGCTGGGGACAGCGGGGACAGTGTCACCCCCTCAACCATGCACCAGCCCCTTCCTGTGGGGGCTCAGTGGGGCCAGAGCCCCCTCATGGGACCCAGATCCCACCCCGCAGCCCCCTGGCTGCTGATGGGGATGGGCCCCATCCTCCCTCCAACAAGCCCATTCCCACCACAACTTCCCAAAGGGAAACTGATAACTCACAGGGGGCCTTGGTGTCACCCCAAATATCCCACATCACCTTCCCTAGAGACAAGCCAGAACCTAGCCCCCTCCTGCATCCTAGAGCATCAGTTCCCTTGTCCCCTCCTGCATCCTAGCGCAACAATTCCCTTGTCCCCTGCTGCATCCTAGAGCATCAACTCCCTTGTCCCCTCCTGCATCCCAGAGCATCAATTCCCTTGTCCCCTCTTGCATCCTAGAGCATCAATACCCTTGTTCCTTCCTGCATCCCAGAGCATCAATACTCTTGTCCCCTCCTGCATCCCAGAGCATCAATTCCCTTGTCCCCTCCTGCATCCCAGAGCATCAATTCCCTTGTCCCCTCCTGCATCCTAGAGCATCAATTCCCTTGTCCCCTCCTGCATCCCAGAGCATCAACTCCCTTGTCCCCTCCTGCATCCTAGAGCATCAATTCCCTTGTCCCCTCCTGCATCCCAGAGCATCAATTCCCTTGTGCCCTCCTGCATCCTAGAGCAACAATACCCTTGTAACCTCCTGCATCCCAGAGCATCAATTCCCTTGTCCCCTCCTGCATCCCAGAGCATCAATTGCCCTGGGGACTCCAGGTCCCCTTTGCTCCATGTCCCCCCCCGTGCCTACAGGGGGGTGGCTGGCACAGGATGAAGCCAACCCATGCAATGAGCCCCCCCCAGCCCCAGCGCTGGGATAAGGGGGAATGTCCATACCCAAACTTGACGGGGGGGATGTCGGGGGCTGTGGGGCTCAGCTCTGGCCCCCGCCGGGTGCTGGTCTCTGTCTCGGAGCGGGTCTCCCAGTACGCTGCCCTCCGGCTCTCAGTGGGGCTGCGGGTGCCGGGGGGGCCCACGGTGCCATCCAGGGCACCCCCACTGCTGGAGAAGTGGGGCTCTGACGCCTGCCAGGGCAGCTCAGGGCGCTCTATGGGACAACACAGACGGAGGGACGGTAACCACAGTAACCCATGGGGTGCCGGGTGATGGGGGACCCCCCCACTCACCGGTGGGGCTGGGTTTGGGGCGGGCGCTGCCCCGGGTGGGGTTTTTGAGGGGCAGCGGGGGGGGGATCTCCTCGCTGTGGGCCCGGCGGGGCGCGGGGCGCGAGGGCACCAGGATGCTCTCGTAGGTCCTGTTGGTGATGTCCATCCCCGTGCAGCTCCAGCGGGCCTGGGGGCTGGTGGCCGGCGGTGACGTGCCCTTGAAGGAGCGCTGCAGGGGGCTGACCTGGGGACAGGCACCCGGCTCTAGGGCTGCCCCACACCGGGGTCTGCACCCCCAGAGCCCTCGCTGGGGATGGGGGGTGTCCCCGTCCCCCCCATAACCCCCCATGGGTACCTTCTCCTCCAGCTCGTCCTCGCTGTCATAGGGGAACTCCTGGGCAGGCTCCCAGTTGTAATCCACGTGGATCTGTAGGGAGAGCTTCTCTGCCTGTGCCTGCTCCAGCTGCCGGATAGGGAAGGGCAGGAGGGTGTCAGGATGGGGGGGGCAGGTCCCAGCAGCCCCCTGCCACCACACCGGTGCTTCAGCCCCCTCTGCCCAGCCCGAGCATCTCCCTCCTCATCCTCCTCCCGCCTACCAGCTCCTCGCACTCGGTGTGCTTCAGCCTCCTGGCCACATCCAGCGCCGTCTCGCCCGCTGCGTTTACTGCCCGGGGGACAAAGGGGATGGGTCCCGGTCACTGGAGAACCCCAGCCCCCTCCTCTCCCCATCCCAGCCCCATACCCGTGGTGAAGGTGGCTTTGCCCTTGAGGAGCAGCTTGAGGCAGTTGGGCTGGTTGTAAAGCGCGCTGTAGTGCAGAGCCGTGTTCCCGTCCTGCGTCACCCGGTCCAGCGCCCCCCTGCAAGGAACTCGAGGCTCGAGGGCACGCAAGCATCAGCCCCGTGGTCCTGCATGGGAAGCGGGCAGGGGACGTACCCGTTCTGGATGATGAAGTCCACCAGAGGAAGAGATGATCTGTCAGCGTGGCGCACGGCCATGTGCAGTGCCAGCTCGCCCAGGTCCTGCCAAGAGATGGAGGGGAGGGATGGACCTGAGGATGCTCATCTCCCATAACAGAAAGGAGAGCTGGACCCAAGGATGCTCATCTCCCATGGGATGGAGGAGAGCTGGACCCAAGGATGCTCATTTCCCATGGGACGGAGGAGAGCTGGACCCAAGGATGCTCATTTCCCATGGGATGGAGGAGAGCTGGACCCAAGGATGCTCATCTCCCATGAGATAGAAGAGAGCTGGACCCAAGGATGCTCATCTCCCATGAGATAGAAGAGAGCTGGACCCAAGGATGCTCATCTCCCATGAGATAGAGGAGAGCTGGATCCAAGGATGCTCATTTCCCAAGAGATGGAGGAGAGCTGGACCCAAGGATGCTCATCTCCCATGGGATGGAGGAGAGCTGGACCCAAGGATGCTCATCTCCCATGGGATGGAGGACAGCTGGACCCAAGGATGCTCATCTCCCAAGAGATGGAGGAGAGATGGACCCAAGGATGCTCATTTCCCAAGAGACAGAGGAGAGCTGGACCCAAGGATGCTCATCTCCCATGGGATGGAGGACAGCTGGACCCAAGGATGCTCATCTCCCATGAGATGGAGGAGAGCTGGACCCAAGGATGCTCATCTCCCATGGGATGGAGGAGAGCTGGACCCAAGGATGCTCATCTCCCATGGATGGAGGAGAGCTGGACCCAAGGATGCTCATCTCCCATGGATAAGAGAGCTGGACCCAAGGATGCTCATCTCCCATGAGATAGAAGAGAGCTGGACCCAAGGATGCTCATCTCCCATGGGATGGAGGAGAGCTGGACCCAAGGATGCTCATCTCCCATGGGATGGAGGACAGCTGGACCCAAGGATGCTCATCTCCCAAGAGATGGAGGAGAGCTGGACCCAAGGATGCTCATTTCCCAAGAGACAGAGGAGAGCTGGACCCAAGGATGCTCATTTCCCGAGATAGAGGAGAGCTGGACTCAAGGATGCTCATCTCCCATGAGGAGAGCTGGAGCCAACAATGCTCATCTCCTGTAAGATGGAGGAGAGCTGGACCTAAGGATGCTCATCTCCCATGGGATGGAGGAGAGCTGGACCCAAGGATGCTCATCTCCCATGAGATGGAGGAGAGTTGGACCCAAGGATGCTCATCTCCCATGAGATGGAGGAGAGCTGGACCCAAGGATGCTCATCTCCCATGGGATGGAGGAGAGCTGGACCCAAGGATGCTCATCTCCCATGGGATGGAGGAGAGCTGGACCCAAGGATGCTCATCTCCCATGAGATAGAAGAGAGCTGGACCCAAGGATGCTCATCTCCCATGAGATAGAAGAGAGCTGGACCCAAGGATGCTCATCTCCCATGGGATGGAGGAGAGCTGGACCCAAGGATGCTCATCTCCCATGAGATAGAAGAGAGCTGGACCCAAGGATGCTCATCTCCCATGAGATAGAAGAGAGCTGGACCCAAGGATGCTCATCTCCCATGGGATGGAGGAGAGCTGGACCCAAGGATGCTCATCTCCCATGGGATGGAGGAGAGCTGGACGCAAGGATGCTCATCTCCCATGGGATGGAGGAGAGCTGGACCCACGGATGCTCATCTCCCATGACAGGAAGGAGAGCTGGACCCAAGGATGCTCATCTCCCATGGGATGGAGGAGAGCTGGACCCAAGGATGCTCATCTCCCATGAGATGGAGGAGAGCTGGACCCAAGGATGCTCATCTCCCATGGGATGGAGGAGAGCTGGACCCAAGGATGCTCATCTCCCATGGGATGGAGGAGAGCTGGACCCAAGGATGCTCATCTCCCATGAGATAGAGGAGAGATGGACCCAAGGATGCTCATCTCCCATGAGATGGAGGAGAGTTGGACCCAAGGATGCTCATCTCCGATGAGATGGAGGAGAGATGGACCCAAGGATGCTCATCTCCCATGGGATGGAGGAGAGCTGGACCCAAGGATGCTCATCTCCCATGGGATGGAGGAGAGCTGGACCCAAGGATGCTCATCTCCCAAGGCTACCCCTGCACCTGAAGGCAAACCCAGCGCATGGGCTCCCAAAGGGGGCAGCCCCATGGCTGCTGCCAGGCAGGGGGAGCAGAGCACTCACCTGGCCCTCAGGGCTGGGCAGGGGCTTGGCCAGATCCTGCCCCTCGGCAAAGGCCTGGAGCAGGGCCAGGAGGTCCCGGCCACGGATGGCTTCCCAGAGGCGATGGGGGTCCTCGTGCCCGCTCTTGTGCACGTAGCGGCGCTCCATGTACTTGGCCACGATGTATTCCTTGCGGGCAGCCCTGTGGGAATGGGGCTGTGGAGTGGGCTTGGACGGACACAGGGAGAGACCCTCCCCAAGGCACCGCTGGGCTCCTGCCTCCGCCTGAACCCTCATGGTCCAAGCACGGTGCAATCCCCACCAGTGATGACACCACGGTCACACCTTCTCCCATCCCAAGCCATTTCAGAGCCAATGGGCAGCAGTGTGGGGATGAGGGCTGAGCACCATGCGCTCCTCTTCCTCCTCCTCCTCCTCCCAGCACACCCCGAGCCCCTGGCCAGTGACCCACTCACATATCGCTGCTGGCCGAGGGCTTGGGGCAGTCCTGGCTGGGCAGCGTGGCCTCCATGATCTCATTGAAGCGGGTATTCCCGATGTTCACCGCCAGCTGTGGGCAGGCAGGGATGGGGGAGATGAGCCCCCCTGGCCACACTCACCTGCCCCAGCCAGATCCCCATCTCCATCCTGGAGACAGAGGGAAGGAACCCACTGCATCCACACAGGACCTTCCCAGAGCAGCATCCCCCCCCAGGGATGATGCTCTTCCATGGTAGGGGAAGTCTACCCAAGGGGCTGACAGCATCCCCCCCCTTAGCATGCAGAGACACCCCCCCCCCCCTTGCCCAAAGCACCACAGTGGGGGCTGGAAAGTGCTGCTGGCGAAACTGAGGCAAGTTTAGGAGCACTGGAGCAAACTGGGCACAGATGGGATGGAGGAGCAGGGATGAACTCTGCACCCCAGCAGGTTCGGGAGCCACAGAGGGTGATGGCACTACATGGATTGACGTTACATCACCTTGAGGTCCTTTCCAACCCGATCCCATCCTCTGGCTCTATGATCCCCAGTGGCTCAGGGAGCAGCTTACCAGCAGCTCGGAGGTGCTGAGGACATCCAGGGTGAGAGACTGGATGCGGGAGTAATGCACGCCCAGCTCCCGATGGATGCCGGAGCACTCGATGCACGTCAGGATGCCCAGGTTGGTGGAGAGCCACGTGGGGTCTGGGGTGTGGAGGTGCTCAGCATCACCACCCAGCCCCATGGGATGCTGCAAACCAGCCCCATAGCCAGGGACATGGGGGACACCCCAAGCCCCAACCTACCCGGGGCGCCGCAGTCACAACACTGCTTGTTCCCAGGCATGTTCTTCACCTCGCTGATGACCACCTTGGTGAGCTCCTGCAGGCCACCATCGGCCCCACCGCCTGCTGCTGCCCCACCACTGCTGGGGTCCCCCTTGAAGGCATTGCTCAAGGCTTCATCCTTGCTGTTCTGCAGCACCGAGACCCACCTGGGCAAGAGGGAGCCGTAAGGATGGGGATGGGGATGGAAGAGCAGGACCAGGCGTTTTAAGGAGTGGGGATGGGCTGTGGCACTTACACAATGCACTCCTGCTCGTCCTCCGCTTGGAAGTGGTATGTCCTGTTGTCTGCAGGGGTGGGGAGAGGGGAAGAAGGTGAGGAGAGGGGTTTGGGGTGCCCAGGACAGCAGGAAGGGGCTGAAACCACTCCAAAAGGGGCTGCTTTAATATAAAACTAAATCAAACTTAGAGAGGGGAGATTTAGGTTGGATGTCAGAAAGTTCTTCCCTGTGAGGGTGGTGGGACCATGGCACCCTGACACTGCACAGGGCTTGGAGCAAGCTACTCCAGTGGAAGGGGTCCCTGCCCATGGCAGGGGTTGGAGCTGGATGAACTCTAAGGTCCTTTCCAACCCAAACCAGAGTGGGATGCTGTGATTCATTGCACATCACTCCTCCATCACCTAAGCCCTCTTGCAACCTCTTCTTGCCTTGAGCTTGCTCCATCTCCTTGCAGTTGGTCCTTCGGGGAGATGCCCAGAACCAGATGCAAGGGACAAAGGGTGGCAGAGGAGCAGGCAGTGCTGGGCAAACCCAGGGACATCCCACGGGCACGTGGGACAAACACTCACGTGTCACCAGGTCGAAGCATTTCTTCTCCTCGGCGTGGGGCCGCACTTGGCAGGTCAGGAGGTTCAGCTTGACGGGGGGACGGTTGATCTGCGGGGTGTGAGGTCAGGAAGGGATCGGGATGTGCAGTGCGGAGCGCATCCTTCCCATGGTTGCTCACAGGGATGCTAATCCCTCTTGGCATTAGGAGGGTCCGACCTTCCCCAACCCTCTGCAGGAGAACAGGGCTTGGAGAAGCGGGGGTCAGGGTGCAGCCCCCCCGTGGCCCCTCACCGTGCTGTGGGAGATGGTCAGACAGCCGTACTTCACCCCACACTTCCTCTTCTGCCACACTTTGCGGATCCTGAGGAGGAGGAAGGGCAGTGAGGATGCACCGCATGGCCCTGATCACCCACATCCACCTGCCTCCCAGGTCACCTATGGAAGCTCTCATGGACCTATGGACACACCTGCCTCCCAGGTCACCTATGGAAGCTCTCATGGACCTATGGATACACCTGCCTCCCAGGTCACCTATGGAAGCTCTCATGGACCTATGGACACACCTGCCTCCCAGGTCACCTATGGAAGCTCTCATGGACCTATGGACACACCTGCCTCCCAGGTCACCTATGGAAGCTCTCATGGACCTATGGACACACCTGCCTCCCAGGTCACCTATGGAAGCTCTCATGGACCTATGGACACACCTGCCTCTCAGGTCACCTATGGAAGCTCTCATGGACCTATGGACACACCTGCCTCTCAGGTCACCTATGGAAGCTCTCATGGACCTATGGACACACCTGCCTCTCAGGTCACCTATGGAAGCTCTCATGGACCTATGGACACACCTGCCTCCCAGGTCACCTATGGAAGCTCGCATGGACCTATGGACACACCTGCCTCCCAGGTCAGCTATGGAAGCTCGCATGGACCTATGGACACACCTGCCTCCCAGGTCACCTGTGGAAGCTCTCATGGACCTATGGACACACCTGCCTCTCAGGTCACCTATGGAAGCTCTCATGGACCTATGGACACACCTGCCTCTCAGGTCACCTATGGAAGCTCTCATGAGCAACCCAATGGCTTTCTGGGCATGGGGCTGTGCTGTTGGGCTGGAGACCCATAGCCAAGGACACTGAACCCACAGCACCGGCCACCCAAGAGAGCATCACAGGGAAGGCACCAGAGCCTCCTGGGGGTCTTCAGATAAGAAATGGGCTGATGACACCAAACCATTGGCAGGGGACGGCTCCCTTGCACCACCTCCAAACCTTCTCCTTCCCATCCCCTGGGTTCTCCCCCAGCCTGGGCAGACATCCCATTCGCCAAGCACTGATGGATGCTTAAGACCAGATGGGACCAATTGCACCCAAAAACCCATCTAACAGCAACCAAAACCTCACCCCAACAGTTCCACCTCGGGGGCCTCCCATGAGCATGGAGCTCTCCCAGCCCACAGCAACACCAGGATAGAGCCAGGAGCTCTCTGGGCACCATCCTCACCCATCACTCTTCTTGTAGAGAAACCCTGACTTCTCCGTCCCATACTGCTTGTTCCCCTGGTGCTGGTGGATGCTGTAGCCACTCCCGGAGTTCTTCCTGCCCAGGTTTTCCTGGGAAAAGGTGTTTAAAAAGCCAAGTGAGAAGTGCAGAGGTGGCTGCTGGCAATTCATCATTGCATGGATGCAGTGGTCCCCATCCCCTCCCAGCCTTGGAGCACCTCCCACATCTCCTGCCCTGCTGCTCCCTCAGGTGTCCCCATTGGTCCCCTCCTTCCCATCCAGCCAGCCCCATCCCAGCTCCCCACTGCCCATCCCGGGATGTCACCTCCTTGCTGTCCAGCTGCAGGAGGCTGCGCAGGGAATCGCGGGTCTGCGTGAGCTGCTTCACCTCCTCCTCCTGTGCCTGGTGGAGCTGGGAAAGGAAGCGGCTGATGCTCACTGCTGCACTGAGTGTGGGCATCTTCAGCCCCTGCCCTCACTGCTGCACTGAGTGTGAGCATCCTCAGCCCTTCCCCTCACTGCTGCACTGAGTGTGGGCATCCTCAGCTCCTGCCCTCACTGCTGCACTGAGTGTGAGCATCCTCAGCCCCTGCCCTCACTGCTGCACTGAGTGTGAGCATCCTCAGCCCCTGCCCTCACTGCTGCACTGAGTGTGAGCATCCTCAGCCCCTGCCCTCACTGCTGCACTGAGTGTGGGCATCCTCAGCCCCTGCCCTCACTGCTGCACTGAGTGTGGGCATCCTAGCCCCTGCCCTCACTGCTGCACTGAGTGTGAGCATCCTCAGCCCCTGCCCTCACTGCTGCACTGAGTGTGAGCATCCTCAGCCCCTGCCCTCACTGCTGCACTGAGTGTGAGCATCCTCAGCCCCTGCCCTCACTGCTGCACTGAGTGTGAGCATCCTCAGCCCCTGCCCTCACTGCTGCACTGAGTGTGAGCATCCTCAGCCCCTGCCCTCACTGCTGCACTGAGTGTGAGCATCCTCAGCCCCTGCCCTCACTGCTGCACTGAGTGTGAGCATCCTCAGCCCCTGCCCTCACTGCTGCACTGAGTGTGAGCATCCTCAGCCCCTGCCCTCACTGCTGCACTGAGTGTGAGCATCCTCAGCCCCTGCCCTCACTGCTGCACTGAGTGTGAGCATCCTCAGCCCCTGCCCTCACTGCTGCACTGAGTGTGAGCATCCTCAGCCCCTGCCCTCACTGCTGCACTGAGTGTGAGCATCCTCAGCCCCTGCCCTCACTGCTGCACTGAGTGTGAGCATCCTCAGCCCCTGCCCTCACTGCTGCACTGAGTGTGAGCATCCTCAGCCCCTGCCCTCACTGCTGCACTGAGTGTAGCATCCTCAGCCCCTGCCCTCACTGCTGCACTGAGTGTGAGCATCCTCAGCCCCTGCCCTCACTGCTGCACTGAGTGTGAGCATCCTCAGCCCCTGCCCTCACTGCTGCACTGAGTGTGAGCATCCTCAGCCCCTGCCCTCACTGCTGCACTGAGTGTGAGCATCCTCAGCCCCTGCCCTCACTGCTGCACTGAGTGTGAGCATCCTCAGCCCCTGCCCTCACTGCTGCACTGAGTGTGAGCATCCTCAGCCCCTGCCCTCACTGCTGCACTGAGTGTGAGCATCCTCAGCCCCTGCCCTCACTGCTGCACTGAGTGTGAGCATCCTCAGCCCCTGCCCTCACTGCTGCACTGAGTGTGAGCATCCTCAGCCCCTGCCCTCACTGCTGCACTGAGTGTGGGCATCCTCAGCCCCTGCCCTCACTGCTGCACTGAGTGTGAGCATCCTCAGCCCCTGCCCTCACTGCTGCACTGAGTGTAGCATCCTCAGCCCCTGCCCTCACTGCTGCACTGAGTGTGAGCATCCTCAGCCCCTGCCCTCACTGCTGCACTGAGTGTGAGCATCCTCAGCCCCTGCCCTCACTGCTGCACTGAGTGTGAGCATCCTCAGCCCCTGCCCTCACTGCTGCACTGAGTGTGAGCATCCTCAGCCCCTGCCCTCACTGCTGCACTGAGTGTGAGCATCCTCAGCGGTTTGGGGGGGCCATGTGGGCACGTACCGCATGGAGGGACACAGCGAGCTTCTCAATGAAGGGGTAGAGGTTCTGGGCAGCTTTCCAGCCGTCTTGGAAGAAACTGGGCATTTGTCCCACGGGATTGAGATGCAGATGGGGAGGATGGAGGGGAAGAAAGAGGATCTTTGAGAGACGCCGTGGCCCCAGACCATAGCAACACATCCACACCCCCGAGGGAAGCCTTGTCCCATTGGGACCCCAATCTCAGACCATGGGGTCTGGATACCCCAAGTATTCGGGGTGTTTGGCATGCAGGTTTGGCCTCTGGTGCAATGCAATCTCTGGGTCACAGCCCCACACTTGGCCAATGGGACTGTCCCCTCCCTTGCCCCAGTTTCCCCTCTCGAGAGTCGGAGGTGACACCATGGCACCCCATGCTGCTATTCCAGCCTCATGGAGCAAAGGGAAAAGACAAGTGGATGTTAATCCTCATTCCAAACCCCCTCACTATGACCCCCTGGCTAACAGCAGAGCCACTCTGCTGAACTCCTCCCTGGAAATCCATCCAGAAACCAAATCATCGGCTATATCCCGAGCCAACCCCATTCCAGCATCCCCCCATGGCCACGTTTACAGCTCCTCAAGCCAACAAAGCACGTTTCAGCTCCCCATCATTGGGTACCAGTGGAGAGCGATGGGCTCTTCACCAACAGCTTGATGGAGCTGGGATGGGAGAAGCTCCCAGCCCCTCATGGGGGGACCCGAGCAGCACCTACTTGTGTTGAGCATGGAAAAACTTGATGAGGCTCTGCAGGAAATCCGGTCCCTGCTTCATCTGGGACTCGCTGGCTTTCAGCAGGTACTGCAGGAGGAGGGGACGCTCGGTGAGGTGATGGAGACAAGGCTGGAAGCACCCCAGAGGAAAGAGGATGCTCACCCGGCCCCTGCATCCCCCTCCCGGTGCAGGCAGGAGCGTTAAGGCACTGTCTGGGGACCACCCTCAATAAAACCTGGCTCTGGAAGTCCTCCAAGCCCTGAGCAGTTCAAGGACCAAAGGCAGGCTCCCAGCCAAGCATTCCTGTCCCATCATCCCATGCTTCTGGAGTTAATAAATAACCCAGACCTGAGGCAGCTCATGAAGGGAAAATGAACTGGTTTTGAAGACATGACCCCTTGGCTCCAAACAAACCCAGCACCTGCAGCACATCAGCCCTGGAGCTCTGCGATCCACACGGAGCTCTCCCATGGGATGGGGAATTTCAGCTTCATGCATTCACCCCATCCATCAGCTGCAGGCAGGAAAGACCCAGAGCCTTGCTCCCCCATAGCAAAGTAAGGGAGGGGAAGAGATTTTCCCCTTGGAGCTCTGATCCAGCCGCACAGCTGCTGGAGGATGCTTTCCAGTGGGAAGCAAGGGGAGGGGAAGGCAGCTCCAGGGGCTTTTCAGGGTGGGGAAGTCCTGCTGTGGGATAAAGCCTTGGGGATGGAGCCTCCTGGTACCCCAGTCTGAAAGCGTGGCTGCATGGCTCCACACAAGCTGGAGATGCAAAGCCCACCATGGGGCTCCCAGCTGGCTGAGCCCCACAAAGGGATGCTCCCAGCGCTGCCTGGATCTGGATCCAACTGCATGCATTCATCCCCATGCCCTGAGGGTGCAAGATGGCCCATGATGAGGAGATGCAACTATTCCCATGATGGGAATAGCATCATACCCCCCATCGCCAGGCAAGCACACACCCCTCCGTGCCAGCGTTGCTGGCAGCGGTCCCTCCCCGGCCGGGATGCAGCTCCCGTTGTTCCCAAGCACTGTTGTGTGTCTCACAGTGGTGCTATTCAAGGCAGTGACTCATCTGGCTGGGTCCCAGCTCCCTGCTCCTGCTGCAGCGGGTGCAGCATCCTCCCTGCACCCCATTGCCAGGATGAGGGACACGGGGCTGCAGGCTCTGATGCTGCTGCCTGCTCCTCAGGGATGTGGCAGGCCCCTGGGGACAAGCACTGGGGACCTGTCCCCTGCTCTCAAGGTGCTTATGGGGCTACTGGGGTCCCTCTTCCCTGGTGGGGCTGCCACTGGGTCTCCAGCCTTCACCTATTCCTATCTCACCTGAGAACGGACCCCTGGTGTCATGGGGGATGTGGGGCCATTCAGGAGCCCCCCTAACCCAAAACCACTGAAGCGGTTTTGAGAACAGGGTCAAACCACAAAGCCAACCTCTGGGTGTGACCCAAAAAGCTCACTTTTTGCCCCAAATGCCAGCCTGTGGGAGGATGCAGGTGGAACCCCGGGTACCTTGCTGCAGCAGAACCCATGGGTACCACTCACAACCACATCCCAGAGACCCCATCTTGGGGATGGGGACCCTGGGACCATGCAGGGATGGGATGGGAACAGCGGAGGGTCCCACACAGCACCCTATGGGGCTGCTTTGGTGGGGACACACGGAGGCCCTGATGTCCCCATCCCGGCACTGCCCCTACCTCGCACATGTGGAGCTGGAAGAGCCGCCGCTCCCTCTGCATGTCCTCGGCCACCTCGGCTGCGGACGGCTCCGCCTGGATGACCCCGGCCACACGGGCTCGTTCCTTCTCCTTCTCCATCTTCCCCCTGTGGGAAGCACAGAGCAGGTCGGGGCCATCTCAAGGGATGTGGCTGCGGTGGGAATGGGATCAGGACAAACATCTCCAGCCCCTCTCAGTTGGGAAAGGCTGGATCAGAGCCGTCCTGATGGCAAACTGGCACCAAGCAGTGCAGCCCCGGGGACAAAACACCTTTGTGCAGGGCGGGATTAGGAGGATTGTGCCTGGGGCAGCGGGTTCCTTACACTTTGGTCTCATAATCCTTCCAGGCTTTTTCAATCTGCTTCTTGGAGTCCTGTGGGAAGAGGGAAGAGGGATGGCAGGCGTCAGGGAAGGGGAAAGCTGGTGGCACCGAAGCAGCCGAAGGCTTTGCTCTCCATCACTGCACCCTGCCCTGCCCCTTGTCCCCACCCCTTGCTCTTGTCATTCCCAACCTCATTCCATCATTCCCTGGGCACAGGTCCCTTCTCCTGGCCAGGGATGTGATCCAAGCCCGTCACAGGGCTCTCGCCCCAGTACGGGGACAGCACTGGAGGGGACTCACCAGGCGCCCGTCCTTCAGCTGCCCCTTCAGCAGGCTGTCCAGGGGGAAGGAGACGATGTTGTTCAGGTTCTGAACCTGTGCGGAGCAGAGATGGGGTCACCCCACAGGGTCCCCACCTCAGGGCAGGTGAAGGAGCCAGAGCCCCGCATCCCTCCCGGTGCTGGGACCTCCATGGCTGCCCTGGGAAGGGTTAAAGAGGCTGGGAGCAGGGCTGGAGCCGGGATGCAGGCACCGGGCAGGCTGGGGCTTGTTGGAGCTGGCTGCAAGATGTCTGACGTGGGGCCCTTCCCACAAACCACATCAGCGCCATGGCTGCCAAGAGCAAAGCTCTTCCCTTGCATCCACACCCCAGCCCTGTCCCCTTCCTCACAGCACAGCACTCGGGGATGCCATCCCATGCCCCCCCCCGATGCCAGGGAAGCATCCCCCTTCCCTGGGGTTTGGGGACAGCAATGCAGCCGCTTCCGACAGCTCCAGGGGGGAAACCTGGCTCTTGGATCCAGGCACATAACCCACAGCAGCAGCGGTGGGGGGCCGGGAACTGGTCTGGCTCCTCCATCAGGATGGATCCCACAGATCCCCATGGAGCACGGGGATGCGGCCAGGCTGGGATAGCCTGGGATGGGGAAGGGGAGGAGCGGGGAGGCCCGGAATGGGTAACAGGGGAAGATACAAGGATGTGAAGGGAAGGGCAGCAGAGCTAAAGCTCCTTCTGCAGAGCCAAAAGCACCCATTGGAAAGTGGATGTGAAAGGGACCAGAGAGGGGACCAGGACATGGAAACACCCCCAGGGCTTGGCATAGACCCGGAACCGACTTCTCCAGCAGAGCCATTCCTGAGGTGGGGAATGCGCTGCCAGCTCGGCTCTGCGAGCTCAGCCTGGCTTTGATTTACTTCTTGGCAAGCGAGATCAAGAGATGCAATTGATGGGAGGGGGGGAAGCCAGGAAGAAAAGGGGGGGAAAGAGAAAAGAGTAACTCCAACCATCCAGTGAATCCCAGCGGAGCGGGGAATGAGCTGTCAGTGCAGCAAGAGGCACATTGGATGGGTTGGAAGCAGGAGGAGCGTGTTCCCCAGGCTGGGATGGGGATTGCTGGGTGGAGGGCAGCTGAACTGGGAGGACTGGGGTCACGCTCCCAGATGGACGGGGCTCTCGGCTGGATGCAGGAGGGCAGGGGGCAGCTCACCAGGTTCTTGAAGAGCGCGGTGACCTCGCGGGTGAACACGGCCAGGTTGAGGAAGCCGGTGGAGAGCTCGTGGTTGTTCTGGGAGAGGTGGTTGTTCCCGAAGCTCTCCAGGGCCTCGCTGTACTGCTCCTCATTCTCCACGTGGGCTGCACGGGGAGACACCAGAGAGGGACATGGTGACACTGAGGCATCCCATGGGGAGCATCACGGAACCATGCCCCACCAGCATCCATCTCCGCATCCCTCCACAGCGGGACAGCAGTGCTCTGCCCTAAACAACCTCCCTTTGAGTCCTCCATTTCACATCTTTTTGAGACTGTTTTTGGCACCTTATGACACTGAGAGGCTACAAGCACCCACATCCCACCTATGGCCACCTCCTGCATCATACAGTGTTGGATGCAGGATGAGACCCATCCCAGAGCCCGCTGGTCCAGGGATGCCCATCCCCTCTCCAAGCACAACTCACTGAGCCCGGAGACGTGAATGGCTTTCACATATTTCCTGATCCTCTGGAGCACGGCTTGGTCCCCATCCAGGCTCTGCGGAGAAGGAAAACAAGCGGAGCTCAGGAGCCCTGCCAAGCACAGCCAGCGCTCGGCCCCACTGCTGCTGCTCTGCCATGCAGATGTGTGGGGCAGCAGCCAAGCTCCTGGTGCTGCAAGAGGAGCCGGAGGCATTCCAGGAACACCCGGGATGCCCATGGCTCTGGCTGGCCCCACTGAGGTGGGCTGGGGCAAGATGTAAGGGGTGAGAGGCTTGGCCAGCACGCCCAGCACCCCTTTGGATCCCAGTATCCATGGAAATGCCCCCCTGGCTCTCGCAGGAGCTGTTCCAACCAAGGAAGGGATGAAGCATCACACAGCACGACTAAACCAGCCTGTGGCCCTGTGGCCCTATGGCCAGTGAGAGCCCTGGGAGGTGCCCAGCTCCCCACAGAGGTCCATGGGAGAGCCGAAACCAGGACCCACTGCGGCCCAACAGGGACCTAAAGCACATAAACCCCACAACCTGGGGGGCTTCCACACCCCCTCTTCCTCACTCCATCCCTCCTGACCCCTCTTTGCCCCCACTGAGCACCAGGGCAAACTGAACCCCAACGCCAATCTAATGCCAACCCGGCCACTGCTGCTGCTTGCAGAGCACCCAGCAAGGGTTAAGGCAGGGCAGCCCCAGCCATAGGAAAGGGTTAAGGACGTCTTGGCTGCAGGTACCAGAGGCATGATAACAGGCTGGAAATATTTAGAGGGCGTGAACATGAAGAAGGGCAGGGATGAAACCACGGAGGAGCTGCAGTAAAGAGGCTCCTCTCGCTCCTGCTCTCAAGGCTCAAGGCTTTGGGGCTGATGTCAAGGCTGATTTCCTGACAGCGGGGTCAGCCTGGCCCCAGAGCCGCTCTCCAAGGCCCTCCTGGTTGGACGGGATGCTGCAAGAGGAGCTCTGGCCTGGATGAGCCGGCTGGGAGGGGACTGGAGCTGAGGCAGGATCATCTCCAGCGCCATGCATCTGCAATGGGGAGGATACTGGAGTGCCCCAACGCCTCCCAAATCCAGGCAGACCAGGCCCTCTGGAGCATCCCGTGACTTGGGATGGGAGCCAGGGCTAGGTTTGGAAACCTGGCGTAGCCTCAGGAAGGGGAAACTGAGGCAGCTCTGGATGCATCCCTGTGCAAGTGGGGGGAAGAAGCTGCTCCGAGTGCCCAGGACAGCGTAGCAGGAGGCTGAATGGGGCCAGTGCAGAGCAGGGATTAAGGATGCTCTGGGGAAGGACACAGTGGCTTTCAGGAAGGGGTCCATGAGTCAAGCAGTGGGGACAGGGCAGGCAGAGCCCAGCACTGGGGTGGGAAACGCAGAGGAAATCACTGCACTGCTCTGGGCACCGCTGGCACCCCTGATGTGCTGAGGTGGATGCTGAGGGTATGGGCTTCAGCAGCACCAGGACAACCCTCCCACAGCATCCGTCACCCCCAGGCCCAGCCAGGGATGAGGGCTCCTGGTCTGGGGAAGCTGAGGACATCGGCGCGACAGGATGGAAGCTTGAGGAAGGGACGGATCCACACTTGCACCACAGCCCCATTGGGATGCTCAATGGGGCCATTCTTCTGCCTTCCCCCCAGCGCTGCCAGCTGGTGCTGCCCAGTGAAGGAGTCACTGTGGGTGCCAGGGACCAGGGTGACAGCTCTATGGGGCTGGGAGCAGGATGCAGCAGGCGATGGCATGGGGCTGGGATTCCTTTGCTTGGATTTCCCACTTCCCCTCCTGCTGGAGCATCAGGACACCAAAGGCCTGGCAGAGCTTTGGCCCCCACAACCTGCAGTGGGAGTGGGGCTCTACTGAGCAAACCCCACAGAGATCCCTGCTATGGCAGGGGGCTGCCTCTGCTCCTGCCCCCATCCCTATATCCCCCTTCACCTCTGGAGCAGCCAAATGAAATCCCTGCTGCTGCCTCCTGGCTGGAGCTGCCTTCCCCATCCCTGGCTGAGAGGAAGATCCAACACATGCTGGCAGGGACCAGGATGCTCCATGGTGCATCCCCAGTCTTCCAGGCCTTGGGACGCCCATCCCGCTGCCCCCAGGGATCCCGGCACCTGGGGCCCCGCACTCCCCACCAGCCCTGGCTCTCCTTCAAAGCCATTCCTGCACTAAGAGGAGTTGGCAAAAGCCACGGGACCAGCTGGAAACCGCCTTTATTCCAGGCAGGAGAAGGGGGATGAAGGCACCTCCACCACCTCCTCACTGCCCGCAAACGCAGCCCGGCTTTATGGGGTGGGGGGGATTGAAAATGGCTTTAATAGCATGGGGGGGGGGACCCCATGGGCACAGCAGCGCATCAGGGCTGGCTCCAGGACCTCCATAGCGGATGGGAGCCATGGGGCTGATGCTCTGCCCAGCCCCAGGGGGAAGCCCTGGCCCCCGGAGGGGATGCCCTGAACCGGGCAGGGGATGCTCTGGGGGTGTAGAGGGGGAGCTGGAGCTGGAAATTAACCCTTTACAGGAGGTTGAAAGAAGAGTTTTACCCATTTCTGCAGCCTTTGGACTCAATAGCACCCGCTGGGGCTGCTTGAGGAATGCAATCGGCCCGAGGGTCCCAAACACTTACTTTAGGGTGCCCAAAACACCGACTCCAGGGTGCCCAAAACACCGACTTCAGGGTGCTCAAAACACCGACTTTAGGGTGCCCAAAACACACACTTTAGGGTGCCCAAAACACTGACTCCAGGGTGCTCAAAACACCGACTTCAGGGTGCCCAAACACCGACTTCAGGGTGCCCCAAACACCGACTTTAGGGTGCCCAAAACACCCCATTCAGGGCTCCCACCAGTCGAACAGGGGGGCTCTGGGGCTGAATGGACCCTGATAAACCCAAGCCCAAGGAATGAAGGAGCCCCGCGGGTGCGGGACCGGCGCTGCGGGGTTGTGCTGAGGTGGGGACCCCCTCCCATAACCCCACTCACCTCTTCCAGAGCCCCCACCGCCCCCCGGCACTTGTGCATCTTGGGGGCGAAGGCGGCCGCGGCCGGGGAGCTCAGGTCCTCGCCGGTCACCGCCAGGAACTCGGCCACGCTGAGCTGCTCGGGCATGGTGCGGGGCGGTGCGGGGCGGTGCGGGACGGGACGGAGCGGGGCTGGGGGGGCTCCGTGCGGAGCGCCCCGGGGGTGCCGGCGAGGCCCCGCTCTGCGCCCCGTGCCCGGCCCCGGGAGCTGCGCCCGCCCCCCCGCACCCCGCGTCATGCGGGAGCCCCGCCCGGCCGTTAAAGGAGAAGGGACCCGGAGGGGTCCGCATCACGCAAAGGGCCCGGGTTCGGGGAGCGGGGAGCGGGGAAGGTAAAGGGGTGGTTGGGAAGGGCTGGGGTGTGAGGGGGGAGATGGGCTGAGGGTTAAGGAGAAGGCTCCTGAAGGGGAGACCTTAGAGCAGCTCCAGTGCCTGAAGGGGCTGCAGGAAACCTGGAGAGGGGCTTGGGACAAGGGCCTGTAGGGACAGGCCAAGGGGAATGGCTTGAACCTGCCCGAGGGGAGACTGAGCTGAGCTCTTAGGCAGAAGCTCTTCCCTGTGAGGGTGCTGAGGCGCTGGCACAGGGTGCCCAGAGAAGCTGTGGCTGCCCCATCCCTGGCAGTGCTCAAGGCCAGGTTGGACACAGGGGCTTGGAGCAAGCTGCTCCAGTGGAAGGGGTCCCTGCCCGTGGCAGGGGTTGGAGCTGGAGGAGCTTTAAGGTCCCTTCCAACCCAAACCATTCCCTGAGTCTATGGGTTCAACAAGGACAAGTGTCAGGTCTTGCACCTGGGAAGACACAAGCCAAGAGCACAGCACAGGCTGACACCAGCTCTTGCAAAGGGACCTCGGGGTCCTGGTGGGCACAAGCTGAATAGGATCTGTGGCAAAGCAAGCCAACAGGATGCTGAGGACTTCACCAAGGCCATCACCAGCAGAGGCAAAGATATCTCTGTCCCATAGAGCCAGCACTGGTCAGGCCACACCTGCGGTACTGGGGTCAGGTTTGGTCCCATGGGTAAGACGCCCCAAAAAGACAAGGCACCCCCAGAGCCTCCCTTGGGGGACACGGGGCTGGGGACAGCCCCTTTGCTGGGGTGGCCCTGCCACCTCCTGGCCAGCCTGGGGACTGCGAGGGGCGGCGGGGGCGACATGGCCCTGGGCCACCCCCGCTGCGCCGGGACACGGAGATGCGGACCGTGGGTACAGCGCTCTGTGCCCATCACCCAGCTTACCTGGCTCGGGGCTCTCCTGCGCCTCTTCCCCTCCTCTTCTTCTTCTCCCTCCTCCTCTTCTTCCTCCTCCTTGTCTTCCTCTGCCACACCAGAAGAGCCCCAAGTACCACTGGCTGTCATCAGATGTCACTGGGTACTATCAAGCATCACTGGATAGCCTGATCATCACTGGGTACCACTGGCCATCACCAGGTACCTCGGACATCACCGGGTGCCCTGACCATCACTGCATCCCCCACTCAGTGCTGGGTACCACCAGCATCACCCGGTCACAGTGTGACTGGGCAGGAGCTGGCGACCCAGGCCAGCCCCATGGGGAAGGAACCCTCCATGGGCACAGCCACACCGAGATTGGGTTGCAACGCAGCCACCCAGCCAGCCCTCAAACCCGGTGTACAAGCCCATCCCATCCCATCCCATCCCATCCCATCCCATCCCATCCCAAACCCTGGGGCGTTTCCCACGCTCCTGGTTCAAGGGGCTCAAGCTCGGGCAGAGGCTCATCCCAACCGGATTTGGGCTGGAAATCACCGACCCACAGCAGGTCAGACCCGTTTCCCTCACTCCAGCCACAGCTTCCCCTCAACCTCATCTCCACCAGCTCCTCCAGAGCAGCCTGGCCAGTTAAAAAGCCCCCAAAATAGGCTTTTTTTTTCACCAAAACCAGGAGTAAAACCAGCAGAACACCTCCCTCCTCCAGCATTTTGCTGCTTAAAACAGCCCCTTCTAACTCCAAAGGTCTCTTTTATTTAATTTCACCCCCTCCCGGGCAGAAAACATCAAATGCCACAAATTTTCCCATGCCAGAAACACGCTCACCCCCAGCACCCGAGAGCCAACCCACAGCAGAACCAACCCAAAGGGAGGAAAACTTCAGTACACTCACTTGCAAACCAACCCCACCAGCACCGCGCCAAGGGGGGGGGGGCATATAAATACAGTGCAATAAGTACATCTATCTTACAACAGCGCAACTCCAAGTCACATCCAGCTCCATGTCCAGGGGCTCATCCCACACTGCTTCCCAAGCCCCTCTCCATGGGGTTTAGTAGGGATCTTCCAGCCATGGAGTGGGAAATAGCTCAGGATGAGCCATGATGATTCCAAAGACCCAGTCTAAGTGGGGAGTGGTCCCAAACCATGAAACCCCCCCTCCCAATGCAGCCCATTCTGGACAGGGGTTTCTCTACCACCCTAACCCACCCCATGCACCCACAGTGGTGGGAGCTTACAGTGGGGAGCACCAACACCAGCACCCCATGGGACCTGGCTGCATCCTTCCCCCATCCCTGGAGGTGACAACCACAGCCCTGAGGTGAGCACCAACACAGGGCAAACCCACCCAGGGTGGCCACCGTGAGCTCCCCATCACCCCAGCCCCACGCAGAGACCCCGCGCTCAGCGCACGAGTGGGCAGAGCGGGAGCAGGGCAGGGGATGCCCCCGGTGCTCAGTGCTGCAGCAGCTCCCCCAGGTCGTACGCCTCGAAGAGGTCGCTGACGCCCTCACCCTCCAGCCCCCAGAGGTAATCGTCCTGCCCCAGGGGGGGCGAGAAGGTGCCAAAGGGCCCCGAGTCCAGGCTGGAGGAGGCGCAGGGCAGCTGGTCCTCGGTCTGCTGCAGGAGGTGATGGGGGGAGCCCAGGAGCCCAGCTTCCACCTCCAGCAGCGAGCCGGGCCCCCCCGGCACACAGAGAGGGAGAGATGGGGGTGAGGAGGGGGTTCCTGGCCCCCCCCAGCTCTGAGGGATGGAGCTGGGGGGCGGTGGGGCTGGCCCAGGGCTGTTTGGCAGGGAAAGGGGGCTGCTGTGGTGCCATGGGGAGGCAGCAGTGGAGGGGATGCTGTGGTCCTTGGTGGGGCTGTCCTCAGGGATCTCCTCTGGGCAGAGGTACACCTCAATGGGGCTGGTGGTGCTCTTCAGGTGGAGCTGGAAGTTATCCTGGAGGGGCAGAGCAAGGCTCAGCAGGGCACCCATATCCCACCCCACTGCCCCGACCTATGCAGGGGGTGCAGGCAGAGTGCTGCAACCCCTGAATGACCAGCCCAGGGTCAAACAGCCCCATGGAGACACCCCAAAACCACCCAGTGCCATGCTGGGCTGCACCCTTGGGTTGCCCCAAATACATGGAAGTCCAGAGGAGACCACGAGGGTGCTTAGGGGCTGGAGCAGCTCCCATAGGAGCCAGGCTGAGAACATTGGGGCTGTTCAGCCTGGAGAAGAGAAGCTGCGTGGAGACCCCAGAGCAGCTTCCAGTGTCTGAAGGGGGCTATAAGGATGCAGGAGAGGGGCTCTGCATCAGGGACTGTAGTGATAGGACAAGGGGTGATGGGTTCAGGCTGAAACAGGGGCAGTTCAGGTTGGAGATAAGGAAGTTCCTTACTGGGAGGGTGCTGAGTCATTGGAATGGGTTGCCCAAGGAAGCTGTAAATGCCCCATCCCTGGCAGTGCTCAAGGCCAGGTTGGATGGAGCTTGGAGCAAGCTGCTCTGGCAGAAGGTGTCCCTCCCCATGGCACTGGGTGAGCTTTAAGACCCCTTCCAACCCAACCCACTCCATGGTTCTATGGTTCTATGGTGCAGATGCACCCAGAGCCTGGCCCTGACCCTGCTGCAATGGGGGGAGCAGCTCCCAGCCCCACACACACCTCACTGAAGTCCGGCACCTCCAGTTGTGTCTCCGGAGGAGCCTTCACGGCGATCACCGTCTGCTCCTGGAAGCTGCTGATGGCACGGAGGTCCTGGTAGGTGACATAGGCCAGCGTGCACAGGGACGGGCTATAGGAAAAGGACCGGCTGCAAGCGGGATGGCTCAGCCCCTATCCCAGCAGCATCCTCCCAACACCCCCCACCAGCCCAGGGAAAGCCACCCGGAGGACAGGGATCTCCTCCTGCCCTCCCTGCCCCGTGTCCCTATCCAGCAAGGATATCTCTGGTTGGCTTCGTTGTCAGTCAGCTGCCGGAGCTGCAGGTCGCAGTCCTGCAGGACCTGGTCCAGGCTCCTCTCCATCCTGGCCAGCTCGGCCAGCTCCCCCCGCAGCGCCTGCTGCTTCAGCATCACCGCCGTGTCCTCAAAGATCCCCGTGCCCCTGCAGGCAGAGACAGCACGGAGTGACTGCGCATCCCAAACCCCCTCCCCTGCGCCCGTTACCCCATCGCACCCACGGCGTCACCTACATCCACTGGATGTGGTTCTTGGACTTCTTGCGGATGAGCTGGATGCCCTCCAGCACGTTGGTGATGTCGTAGATGCGGCGCTTCTGCACCCCCAGCACCTCGGCCGCTCGGTTGAGGTCCACGACGCCGTCGGGAGACTCGTGCAGGAGGCGGATGAACTTCTTGGTGAGCAGCCCCAGGGAGGTGTCGTAGCGCGTTCTCTCCCCGGGAGACTTGGGGGCTGCAGGGAATGGAGGGGAAAACCCCACTGGGGACAGGGAACGCTGCGGACCCCGAACCTGGGAGGGAAATAACCCAGCCATAGCCCCCCCAGGGAGAGCACCAAGGGGATGTGGCAGCAGCTCTGACAGGCTCCCCCCCTGCTCCATCTCCCCCAGCATCACTTACTCCTGGGGCTGGGGACCTGTGCCAAGGTCCTGCCCTTCCCTTTGGGCGTGCGGAATCCGGGGCCCTCCAGGTCCAGCTTCCTCTTGGCCTGGAGCAGGAGAGAAAAGCTCACACTGGGATGGAGCCAGGCACCCCCCGGGGCCATGGGTGAGCCCTGGGTGCCGCAGCCTGTGCTGAAAGCATTGAGCTGGATGGGACCTCCGGAGGTGGTGGAGCCCAATGGAGGTTCCTTGCAAGGGGCTCATCCGGCTGCAAAGCCCATTGTGGGAAGGGTTCCCACAGCACCCAGCAGGGAGGGAGGAGATGGGGGGGTCCCGGCTCCCCCCATGGCAGCCACGGGGGATTTCCCCTTGCTCCCAGTTCCTGGCACAGCTCCTTAGGGACGAGCCCTGGGAACGTGGCAGCTCCAAGGCTGGATCCTTGCCCTCCCACCCTGGCAGATGGGGCGCGGGGTTTCATCACCCCCCCTCCTTGTTCCCTTATTCCTGGCCGTGGTTGGAGGCAGCTGAGGGCACCCAGCTGCTATGGGGTGCCCCACACATGTGCACTCAGCTGGAGGGGAAGTGGGGCACGGCAAGGGGGGGTTGAAATGGGGGGGCATCTCACACACACCCTGTCCCGTTGCCAGGGCTAAGCAGCAACTGGAAATCACCCCCAAGGCACCCCCAAAGCATCACCTGGGGCAAAGAGACCCAGGGAATCACATGGAAATCCCCCCCCCACACCAGACCCCTAAATACAAGCAGGGGGGTTTGGGGCACACACACAGCAACACAAAGCAGCCCCCCCCCAGTACCTGCTCCCAGGCCGGGCTGTCCCACAGGGTCCCCCCCAGCACATCCCGCATGGTCCCGGTGCTGGCTCCGACTGCGGCTCCCTGGGGAGCGCACCCCAATGCGTGGGGAAGGGTTGGGCACCTCGGGGGGGGCAGAGGCGCCGGGGGCTGTTTTCCGCCCCCTCCAGGGAGCCAGGTTGGGCTCAAGCTCCTGTGGGAATCTGCTCCCTCCCTCTCCCGGAGCCGGTTTTCCCCAGGGAATTCGCCGCCATCGCCAGCCCCGTGCCGTGCCCGCCCCCCCCCGGCCCCGGGCTGCCGGCACCCCAATGGTTAACACTGAGTGCATGGGAACCACCTGCCCCCGACCGGAGCCCCTGCATCTGCCAGAGCGATTTGGGATGGGGGGAGCAGCATCCTGCATCCCCCCCCTTCTCCTGGCACCCGAACCCTGCCTTCGCCACGCACCCACGTTCCAGTGGGGAAACTGAGGCACGGAAGCAACCACAGCAAATCCTGGTGTCCCCCGGACCAGAGCCACCAAAGGTGATTTCCCACCCCTACTGCACAGGAAGGGGGGGGGGAAGAGGACCCCAAATGCATTGGGGCTGGGGGGAGCCTGGGGGGCTCAGTGTGGGGGGGATGCGCAGCAAAGGACAATGGACAAGGGGGTCTCTCCTGTGTCCCAGCTGCCGGAACCGGGCAGGATTAGGCACACGACAGCTGAGTGGGGCACAGCGAGGGGCTCCCAGCACCCTGCCAGGGCTCAGGATGATCCAGAGCAGATGGGGGGGAAGGACCAAGACCCCCCCCACTCCAGAGCATGGGGGGGACCCCACTCCTTGTGCTGCTTCCCAGGATGGGGGGATCCCCCAGTACGATGCTGGGGTGAGAAAAGGGGCTCAGACCCGGGGAGGGGGGAATGAAGGCAATGGGGATGCAGGGGGTGAAGCCGGGCCCCCCGCCAGCTCTGCCTGCCAACACCCCCAGTGCCGGGGGCTGTACCCAGCCCCAGAGCAGCCCTGTCCCTCCTGGAGGCTCCTGCTGCCAACAGCACCCGCTGCCTTCTCCAGGCTTGCCCAGGCCCGGCCTTTGTGCCAGCCCCCCCCCAGTGCCACCCCCTGTGCTTGAGGGGGGGTGGGAAAACAGAGAAGCACCCAGGGATGGGCACCCTGGGGTGACGGCACCGTGCCAGCGATGCTGCTCATGACAAGGGGCCCCTGAATCAGATCCCCCCAGTGCAGCCTTTGGGATGGATGAGAGCCAGCAGGGACAGGAGGATGCAGAACCCCCAGATTTGAGGGGTTTCAGCCCCATGGTGGGCAGGGGAGGGAGGATGAGCTCTGGTGCAGAGCCAGGGAGAAGGCAGTACCCTCACCCCGGGTACCACTCTCCACTCCAAGATGCATCCGGTACCTCCATCCCCATCCCAGCACGGATGGTTGGAGACATTCCCTGGCTGTCAAAGCCCCTCTGAGGGCAACACAACAGCCACCACCTTCACTCCCATCCCAACCCTGCACCCCCAGGCCCCCCCACTCCTGCCCAGGCAGGAACACCCTTGATGGGATCAAGGAGGGGATGGGATCACCATGGGTCACCCCAGCAGAGCCGCAGCCCAGCACCCACAGGGTGCTCTTTGCTCAGCGCTGCCAGCTCACACCGAAACCACAGCGGACTCTGAACATCTTTATTCCAGCATGGAGGATGCAGGGACATCGCTGGGTCCTTCGCAGCGTTGAGCCATCCAAGACCCCACAGCCACTATAGGGACCCCATATGGCCATGGGAAATAGTGAGGATGGGGTTGGCACATGCTAAAATCTCTGCAGGACACTCATTGTTCATGGGGGTGAACACATTGACCCACGCTAGGACCCTCAAATCAGAGGGGAAATATACATGAGGTGAGGAACAAGCCAGCCCTGTTCCCCATGGCCAGACACAGGGTGATGGGCTCCCTCCAGCCGGCCCAGCTCTGTTATCCAGCACAAATCCAGCAGGGAGATGGGAGTGGCAGCAATTACCCTGCTTGGGAATGAGGAGGAAACGCTTATTATAATGCTTGCCTCGGATCTGCACACAAAGGTTGTATCATAAATGGGGTGTGGGGCTGGGAATGGGGTAACAGCATCAGGAAATGGGATGCGGACACCATTTGTAAGGCAGTGAGGGGGATGCCCCCCAGGTGTCACATGAGCCCCACAGATCCCCTTTCAGGGCACAGTTGTGGGCAGAACACCCTGAGCATCTCCTGGCTTGGTGATGGTGATGTGAAAGAGGCCCTTAGCCCAAAACCAGCTCCACAGGGATGCATGGAAACGGGACCCTGAGGTTTTAGGGTGCTTTTAGGGGAAGGGGCAGGTGCCTCCTTAACCAACAGCGCAGGATGCAGCATCCCACATGGTTCAGATGTGAGATGCTGGACAAAGAGGACACATGGACAAAGAGGCTGCAGAGGAGACAGGTGGCCCCAGAGCCCCCCGGGACAGGACTTAGAGCAGCCCAACCAGCCCCAGCCATGGCACAAAGGGGGGAGCAAAACCATCCCCATCCCCATCCCCAGCCACAGCCATGGCCCAGGGAAAAGGGGGAATCAATCCATCAATGAAGCCTTAACCCCCCCCTCAGCCGGAGGGAGCGGGGTCCGGGATCCCCCCCAGGACCTGGGAGAACAGAGGCTCACAGTGAGGGCTGGATGCGCGCCCAGGATGGATGCGGTGGGTGGGAATTAAATGCCAGCTGCCAGCGGGGACCCTTCAGGAGGAGGGATGGGATGGGATGGGGTGGGAGGGGATGGGATGGGCAGAGCCATCCATGCACCCCAATACCGGACACTGCCCAGTGCCCCATTTGTGCCTCAGTTTCCCTGTTTGGAGGCAGTGGGCTGGGTGACAGGGACACAGGCAGGCCCCTTGCCCATGCCAACCCACATTGCTCCCTGCTTCAAAGCCCCATGGAGGATGAGGATTGCTTCAAACCCCTTCTCCCCCCCCCCCAAAAACAACAAAGGCATTGCAAGCCCTGCTGTAACCGCAGCAGGAACCGAGCTTGGGCGGTGGCGCTGAACCACCCCTTGTCCCCACCATGTCTCTGGGTCCCAGCCCCAAACCCCGTGTCGCACCCTGGGGGTCACAGCCCCATAGAACAGGAACGGTGCCTCCCCCCTAAGGTGGGAAGAGGTTCGCCAAGCCAGAAAGAGGAGGCAAAAAGGCCTCCAAAGGGTGAAAAGCGGAAGCCGGGAGCCCACGGAGGCAAAGGGAAGTGGAGAAGCCTACGAGCCATTTCACTGCCCCTTCTGATTTCAACCCTCCCATCCCCAAAGCGGCACCTCCAAGGGGCGCAGACCCCAATGGAGGCTCCAGGATGAGGAAGGGGATGGTGCTGTGCGCGCTGCCGTCACCCACCCCTGCACGGAGCCCCCCCTAAGCCGTGCCCGAGGAGGGGATGGGGCGCAGGCTCCTTACCTGCAGCCGTCCCGCTGAAGCCGAGCGCAGGGTCCTGAGCTGGGGGCTCTGGGGGGTGCCATAAAGAGCCCGCCCCCGAGGAGCGGGGCCGCTGACATGGGTGTAGAGCTGCGGGAAGCAGGCGGCGGGTAACGGCGGGGTGCGCAGGCTGGGCCCCCCCCGCCCGGAGGAGCCCATCACGGACACGACCTCCTCCGGGTGCTGCCGGTGCTGGTGATGCGGAGGGGGGGGCAGGAGGATGGGGCCCCCCCTCCCCGCAGCGGGGGGCACTGCCCTGGGGAGCCGCAGCATTCAAAGTCCTCCCGAGGAGCCTCCGCCCGGGGGAGGGACGGGGCAGGAGCGGCCCCCCCGACGGGGGGGGGCTTTGGAGGGGGGGGGGGTCACCACCTCATTATGGGGAGGGAAGAGCCCCGCAGGGAAGCGCCCAAAACGGGGCGGAAAGAGCGGGTTTAGCCCCAAAACCTCCCCTTGCGCTGGGCCCCGCCTCGGGCGCTGCCCCCCCCCCGGCCCCGATCGCTCCGGTTTAGGGGCGGTTTTTGTATTCTTTTTTCTATTTTTTCCGGTTTTTCGGGTTGGGTTTTTTTTTAAGCGCCAAACGGCGTCCCGCGAAATTCGGATTTCCCGCGGAAAACGCCGCGCGCTGATTGGCTGGCGGCGGTGACGCCACGCCTCCTTCCCCCCCCTTCCTCGCGGCGCCGGGAGGGGCCTTAAAGGGGCCGCGCTTCGGGGTAGGGGGACTGTATGCAAATTAGGGGGCGTGGTCTACTGGGGACCACCTGCTCCTATTGGGGGGGCGCCTGGAATGGGGGTCACTGGGATTGGGATGGGGACTGGGATTCATTTATTATTAATTACCTATTAAAGCCCGTGCCCCAAGCTGGGGGTTCCCACACACACATTCCCATCTCCCCCCCCCCATTCCCAAAGAGGCGGGGGGGGGTGCATCTGTCTGGGAGGGGAAGGATTTCGGGGTGCTCCAGGGGGAAGCTGACAGCAGTCCCCCTGTTTGGGGGTGCAGGGACCTCAGAGGGGTGCCCCAAACCCACCAGCCCAGCCCCAGCCACCGTGTCCTTGGAGTGCCTCAGGTCTTAGTGGCAAAGGGGAGGGAGGAAAAGGGGGCGAAGGGCCCCCAGTTGAGCCCACAGAGTGTTTTGGGGTGCAGCAGTGGCAGAAAGACCCAAGGCAATGGTGAATCCCTGGGAGAGGGCAAGTCCAAGACTTACTGGGACCAGCGACAGGCCACCAGAGCCCCTAATGGATGAGCCACCATTGATTCCTGCTGTGGAGTCCCTCATTCCCCCCCATCTGTTCTTTCCCCTTCAATGTTCTCCTCTCCGGACAAGGCAGCTTCATGTCCAGGGCTGGGACTGGGGATGCGCGGGTGCAGAGATGGACTTGGGTGCGAACACAGACGGACACCGTGGCCTCTGCTGTGGATGAGGATGGGCACCAGACCCCCACAGTCCCCCTCAGCTTGGGGGAGGACACCAGGAGCCTCTGAGCCAGGCCTCCCACCGCGCAAGGGCTCTGAGGCAGAACAGAGAGCCTGGCAGCAGTGAATCCAGCGCGGCTGGGCTCCACATCCCTGTGCCAGGAGCACATGGGCTTGGCAACTCAGCGCACCCAGACCTTCAGCCTTGCCCCTACAGGGAGAAGGCAAATGCTGCCTCCGTTGCAGCGCACAAAGACAACGCCGTAGCCAGCAGCGTGGGTAAATCAGTGCCAGTGCTTTGCGTTGGAAGGGACCTTAAAGCTCATCCAGCTCCACGGGCAGGGACCCCTTCCACTGGAGCAGCTTGCTCCAAGCCCCTGTGTCCAACCTGGCCTTGAACACTGCCAGGGATGGGGCAGCCACAGCTTCTCTGGGCACCCTGTGCCAGCGCCTCAGCACCCTCAAAGGGAAGAGCTTCTGCCTAAGAGCTCAGCTCAGTCTCCTATCTCTCTCTCTCAAAGCATTAACAGCCATGTGGGCTGCGTCTCCTCATCCACTGCTTGCATGTAAGGACCAATCCTTGCCATCAAACAAGCCAAGCCCAGAGTCCAGCACTGCTGCAGATGGAAATCCTGACCTTTAAAGTGCAGATCTCTGCTATGACCAGCTTCAAACTGCTGGAAAACCTTCACGTCTGGTCTCCTCCACCCATTGATGGGTTTTGGCACCAGGATCTTCATGGAGACAGAGGTGGGGATGCTGGCACCTTCCCCAGAGTGCGAAGGAGGCTCAGCATCCCCCGATTCTCAGCACTGGGGCTACAGAGCATGAGCAGGGCCTGGCCAAGCTCTGCAGCATCAGTGCTGGGTGCTCAAAAAGCTCCTCCAGCATCCCCAGGTGGGATGGACCAGCGTGGTGGGAAAGGACAATCCCCTATAAGACACGTGGAGAGGGGCTTTGGGCAAGGGCCTGTGGGGACAGGACAAGGGGAATGGCTTAAACCTGCCCGAGGGGAGACTGAGATGGGATTTTAGGAGGTGCTGGAATCAGCCCTGTGGCATCGGGGAGGTTCGGGCTGAGCCGGGCTCTTCCTCCTCTGCCCTGCAGGCGGCAGCAGCGAGCCGCGGCTGCGGGTCCCGCTCACCTCCGCGCCCCCGGGCCCGGCCCGGCCCGGTGCAGGGCATTCGATGGGATGCAGGGGCAGTGGGATGCAGGGATGCGGGGATGGAGAGGCACGGGGAAGGACAGGGAGATGGAGGAGGGAAAACGGGACAGAGGAATGGAGGGACACAAGGACGGAGGAACGGAGTGTGGATGCGTGTTCGTGTTGGCTGGATTGGTGTGTGCATGTGCGTGCATGTGTACACATGTGTGTGCATGCACGTGGATGTGTGCCCCTGTTGGCTGGACCTGGGTGTGCATGTGTGTGCAAGCATGTGTATGTGTGTGTGCGTGTGTACACGTGTGTGTGCATGCACGTGTATGTGTGTCCCTGCTGGCTGGGTCAAAGTGTGCACATGTGTGTAAGCATGTGTATGTCTGTGTGCATAAACATGTGTGTGCATGCACGTCCATGTTGGCTGGGCTGGGGTGTGCATGTGTGTGCATGCAGGCGTGTGTGGATGCATGTGCGTGTACATGCATATGCATGCATGTCTATGCGTGTGTGCACATGTGCGCGCATGTGCTACCGCTGCAAGGCACACATGTGCTGCAGCCCATGTGCATGTTGCCATGCTTTGGGGGAGCACACGTGCCGCTGCCGCCTTGTTGCGGGTGCACATGTGCCTGCCAGAGCATGCAGAGTGTCCAAGCATGCACGTGTGTCCAAGCATGCACGTGTGCCCAAGCATGCACGAGTGTCCAAGCATGCACGAGTGTCCAAGCATGCACGTGTGTCCAAGCGTGCACGTGTGTCCAAGCATGCACGTGTGTCCAAGCATGCACGAGTGTCCAAGCATGCATGTGTGTCCAAGCATGCACGTGTGTCCAAGCGTGCACGTGTGTCCAAGCATGCACGTGTGTCCAAGCGTGCACGTGTGTCCAAGCATGCACGTGTGTCCAAGCATGCACGAGTGTCCAAGCATGCACGTGTGTCCAAGCGTGCACGTGTGTCCAAGCATGCACGTGTGTCCAAGCATGCACGAGTGTCCAAGCATGCATGTGTGTCCAAGCATGCACGTGTGTCCAAGCGTGCACGTGTGTCCAAGCATGCACGTGTGTCCAAGCGTGCACGTGTGTCCAAGCATGCACGTGTGTCCAAGCATGCACGAGTGTCCAAGCATGCACGTGTGTCCAAGCGTGCACGTGTGTCCAAGCATGCACGTGTGTCCAAGCATGCACGAGTGTCCAAGCGTGCACGAGTGTCCAAGCATGCACGAGTGTCCAAGGTGCACGAGTGTCCAAGCATGCACGAGTGTCACCACAGCTGCACGAGTGTCCAAGTGCACGAGTGTCCAAGGTGCACGGTGTCCAAGCTGCACGTGTGTCCAACCACCCAGCATGCACGAGTGTCCAAGCATGCACGGTGTCCAAGCATGCACGTGTGTCCAAGCATGCACGAGTGTCCAAGCATGCACGAGTGCCCAAGCATGCACATGTGTCCAAGCATGCACGTGTGTCCAAGCATGCACGTGTGTCCAAGCATGCACGAGTGTCCAAGCATGCACGAGTGTCCAAGCATGCACGAGTGTCCAAGCATGCACGAGTGTCCAAGCATGCACGTGTGTCCAAGCATGCACGAGTGTCCAAGCATGCACGTGTGTCCAAGCATGCACGAGTGTCCAAGCATGCACGAGTGTCCAAGCATGCACGTGTGTCCAAGCATGCACGAGTGTCCAAGCATGCACGTGTGTCCAAGCATGCACGTGTGTCCAAGCATGCACGAGTGTCCAAGCATGCACGTGTGTCCAAGCATGCACGAGTGTCCAAGCATGCACGAGTGTCCAAGCATGCACGAGTGTCCAAGCATGCACGAGTGTCCAAGCATGCACGTGTGTCCAAGCATGCACGTGTGTCCAAGCATGCACGAGTGTCCAAGCATGCACGTGTGTCCAAGCATGCACGAGTGTCCAAGCATGCACGAGTGTCCAAGCATGCACGAGTGTCCAAGCATGCACGAGTGCCCAAGCATGCACGAGTGTCCAAGCATGCACGAGTGTCCAAGCATGCACGAGTGTCCAAGCATGCACGAGTGTCCAAGCATGCACGTGTGTCCAAGCATGCACGAGTGTCCAAGCATGCACGTGTGTCCAAGCATGCACGAGTGTCCAAGCATGCACATGTGTCCAAGTGCATGCACGCCCACGCAGAACGCGCGTGTACGAGCACGGCCGCGCGTGTCCGCGCTCCCGGCACACACGAGCGCATCCCTGCGCTCCCGGTCCCACGCGTGTGTGAGCGCCGCATCCGCCGCGGCTGGCGGGGAGCCGGGAGCTGGGATCGGGGAGGGGGGGGCCGGGCTTGGCCGGGGCAGGCAGCGGGAGCAGGAGGAGGAGGAGGAGGAGGAGGAGGGAAGTGCGGCTCAGACAGCGCGGCGCCAGCAAACACCTGCAAACAGCTCCGGGCACACAATGGCAAATACAGGTGGGGAACCGCGGCCGATTGCATCAGACTCAGCCTCTTGCCAAGAGGCGATTGAAGCCGGCCCGGCCCGGCCACCGGCACCGCGGCTGGGGCACGACCGGCCTTCACCCCCCCCCGGGTTAGTTACTGCGCTCCTCATCCTCCCTTTGGCACCCGTGCGATGGAGCTGGGATGAGCAGCGCTCAGATATGGGGGGAAGCGGGGGTGTTTCTTGCACTACATCTGCCCCGCAAAGTGAACCCCGGCAGGGAGCAGCACCCACTTTTAGTTGCGTGTTTTTCCCCCCTTTTATGTGTTTTGGGATCTATTTCGTTTAAATTAAGGG